AGTTGTCCATGTGTAGGCTTATGTGTGTGGATGCACTTGGCATTTAAGCTTCCACTGTAGTTGATTGCCACAGTCAGTAGTGGGTGGAATTCAGCTCTCTCTGAACTGGGCACGTAGAAGCAGGATTTGATTCCCTAAACAAGAACACCTTTTGCTATCATCTGAGATGTTCCAGGATATCTAAGACATCAGCTGGTAGATATGATAGGACTTGTTCATGGAGCGTTCCTGGAGACACAGGTGGAAGCCATGGAGGGGACTCAAAGGCATCTCCTATGAGCCCAAAGGCACCTCAGATGAGCCTAAAACCTGTGTTTAGGTACCTGAATCCTGCCCTTGGTAGCTGAGTAGCCCTGTAGGCTCCAGCACCTAGAACTCTGCTGACTCTAATGGGAGCTTAGGTACCTTTTTAAATGTTACAGACACCTACATTTATCTGTTTTAATCTTGAAGATCCCCCTTTGCATTCAAAGTTTTATTTGTAGTTCAGAGGTTTTTTAGCTTCACATAGAGAAAATAAAAGCGTCTAGTGAAAGCAAAATGGATAATGATCAGTGTTTATACTCACTTGACAAACACCTTCTCCTATTACAGGGTGACTGGTGCTGGCCGGGTGATGACCTATACTCTTCAGGTAATTAGGTAATTACTGAGAAAACAGACCACTGAATGAAATCAGAGAATGCCTCATTATGCAGTCAAGAGTGACAGAAGTGCAGAGAGAAAGGAAAGTCCTAAAGGGATATAACTAGCGAGTTATGTTGCCAAGTTTTCCCAGTGTTTGTTCTCAGAATTTTCCTCAAAGATGAGTAGGCTCAAGATGAGTACTTCCAGTTTTCAACACCTGTGAACATTCAGAAGAGAAGTCTACCAAAACTTTGATTTCTTTTTTTGCTTAAAGGAAGCACTGGATATCTTCTGAAATGGCAGGATAGTGCTAGTGTGACTGAGAACTGTGTGTTGTTCAAGGATAAATGCACTGGCAAAGAGGAATCAAAACCACACAGAGTAAGAATAGTTGTGGCATATGTTTGGGGTTTTTGACAGTTCACATGCAACCCATACTAGAGGTTGAATCTTAAGTCCAATCACAGGCATACGCTCCAATAATAATTTATATCTTGTGGACCCAAATATAATTCTTTTGACTCTTGTATTTCAGAGAAGTCTAGTAAGAGGAACCAGTATGCAAAAGAAAACATGGTTTGTAAGAGACATCACCTAAGATACTAACATATTGAAATAATAATTTAGGTTTCCACTGTAAGTAAATAAGTACTTTCTTTTTTTTTCTCTCCTTCTTTTTGAAAGCATAAATCCTTCCCTAACTCATGTGCTGATTCATGCTGGAAAATGCATACAGCAGCTTCTCTCAGTCAATAAAAAAAGCCACTTCCTTCAGTTTTCATATTCTATCACTGACTTGCCTGTTTCCTGTATCTAACCACATTTACTCTTAGCTGGCTGTTAGACTTCACATGATAAATACCTTTCTTACTTTCTTTTTTTTTTTGGCATGCTTCAGTCAAGAATCTGCTTACTCTGAACTCTCATAGTGATCGGGGAAAGAGAAGAATTTCCAGAGGGTGATTCTAATGTTGCATGGTTTGAATTGGCATCTGGAAGTATCTGTCTCTCCACTGGCTATACAGCAATCCTAACCAATTAATATACACTAGACACTCAACTGCGTGAGAGCTAATAACAAAAGAATCCTACTTGTGAGGTCTTTGTGCTTCCATTGCCCATCTTTACAATGAGTTTCCAAAAAATTCCTTCCCTAAATGCTGATATTTCACCTCTACCCAGATGGGAACTCTTACAATGAGTTTTTGTTAGGCTTGAATGATAGAATTTTTTTTCTTTGAATACACATATTTCGGTTTAAAATTAAGCACTTGGAAGAATTGCAGCAAAAGGTAATAAAAATTTTGTATAGCACAGAATCAAGAATGAGACCTCCAGAGAAAGCTAGGTACGTGCCCATCCCACCCCCCAACTAATGGTCAGTGCAGATACGGGGGACATTCTTATGCAGACATCTTCTCTGATTCAGATGAAAGGTTTGAACTTCAGGCCATAGACACCTATTTGTTTAACATGCATCTGTGGCAACTCCACTTAACCTGCCTTAGGTGATGGTTTTGGCTAAACCTTGAGGCAGAATTGATGGGTATGTGATGATGAAGTTGAGTTTGGTGCAGGGGCTTTAAAAGTTTATGGATGGGCAGCATCGGGGGAGAGAGAAGGTAGCATTTCAAAGTTATTTTTCCAAGGTTAAGTGAAAATGTGTCTATAACTTGGAAGGCTTACACAGCAGACAGAAATCTTACCCTTCAGAATATACAGGCAGCCTTACATTTGTTGAGCCAATTGACATTAATCAGATACACAACAATGATTTACTCTAATAGAAGAAATCAAGATGATCACTCCAGAAACCACTTAGTAAAGGACTGATCTAACATGCTGAAGAACATGGTTCATATCCCAGTTTTGCTTAATTCAGAGATGAGATTTTAATGTAGGTCTCAAACCAAAATGAAAATCCTAATCACCAAGATATCAGCCACTTTCAAATACGTATCTTCCTTCTACAAAGAAAGAGAAAGGTAGAAAGAGAGATGAAGGGATGAAGGGAAGAAGGAAGGAAGGAAGGAAGGAAGGAAGGAAGGAAGGAAGGAAGGAAGGAAGGAAGGAAGGAAGGGAAGGAAGGAAGAAGGAAGGAAGGAAGGAAGGAAGGAAGGAAGGAAGGAAGGAAGGAAGGAAGGAAGGAAGGAAGGAAGGAAGGAAGGAAGGAAATATCAGCTTCATTCTTCTTTAGAATTAAAATTAATCTAAAAATAGTCTGATTTTCTTGCAAGATGTAAGATAGGTGTTCTTTTTCTACCTAGACATAGTTTAAACATATCACAAAGGAAGAGAGTAATACAGCTCATAGGAACATTAATACAAGTCACAGGAACAGGAGCCAAAACTTAACATTTGGAGGCAGATTTGGGCAAAATACCACCTTTCATTGCCGGGAGCAACATTAGTTCCCAGATGTGTCCAAGATGTCTTAGGATAAGCACTATAAATTTGCACCTGTCCATAAACCCCTGGAAAAAACAGAAGCAGGAGATCAAATGTTAGAGGAAAGACAGACTTGAGAAGAACTGAACCCATAACTAAATACATGGAAATCTTTATATTTATTAAAGTATGTTTCTATATTTTATGAAAAGTATAAGAACAGCATATAGCCTCCACTTGAAATACAAAGTGAACTAGAAAAAAATCATTAATAAAGTAAAATGATCATCACATGTAAAGGCAAGAAAGGGGATTGTACCATAGAATTCTCATTAACTCAAATTGGAATTGCAGGCAAAGGTATCTACCTTAAAAAAAAAAAATCTACCTAACTAAACAAATTAAGTAAAAACTCCAGGAATGAAAGATACAAAAAATTACTCAGCTATTATTTATATTTTGATCTGTGAAAGACTCACTTTTTTTTTTTTTCTGGAAAGTGGATCAAAAAACCAGGGCAGAAAGCCAAAATATCAAAATTTTCCTTATAGATGACATGTTCCAAAGAGATTAAATTTGAAGCATGAAAAAAAATCTGATTTCCTGCATTGAAATGTTTTGTTTCTGTTTGCTGACCTAATCTGAAATCTTTCGGTTTGAGTCAGTTCAATATTTGTTCTGCATCTCTAATAGTGATACATTGCTTCAGAGGAGTTGTGTGCTTCAGGTATTTAGTGAACCCATGTTACTGCTTGGGCTAATCTCCTCCATAGACAACTTTTTCTGTGCCATATTATGTCACTATAGCCCAAAAGAAGACTGCAGAAAGCATTGGTAATGCAAGCCTGATTATCCCACTGAGACAGACATTCAAAATAACTTCCTTGATCTTGCATTTGCTGTGGTCTAAGAGGATAGCATGAACAGTTGTGAAGTCTCATTTGATCCGTGACAGTGTGCTGAACCACAGTAACATATCTATCTTCTTTTGTAGCCCCTAAAATCATAGGAAGTCAAATTGGTAGCTCTTGTTGTACTTCAACTTCTAAGTAATTTAGATTTAAAAAACCCCTCAGAATCCATCTCCTCTATCAGTTAGGTTTCTGTCTTGCCTTCCAAACATTTCACTTAGCTATTTGCTAAAAGTTTGTAATTGCTTGATTAATGTGTACAATAGTATTTCAAAGTCACTATCAGAAACAAATTGAGATTTTTTGTTATTTGTTTTTTCTCTGAGTTTCTTTAATATTCTACAAATCTTGATCCAGGCAATGTTTCTTGCTAGCAGTTTGAGTTTCTAGTGTCTTTACAGCTCAGCAGTGAATGAAGTCTTGCAATACTCAAGTATTGTTGAAAACATATTTTAAAACATGGAAAATTGAAAAGTTAACTTATTTCTTTAACCATAATTATATCAGGACATGTGAAAGTTGACAGGAACCTTCTTTTGTCAATCTTTCTGTGGGTCCAAATGGTTGGAAATATTTAAATGTGTGCATTTGGATCCATCCAGTAGCTCTTGGATGTAGTTCATCTCCCTTAAGTCAGGCACTTAAAAATAGTTAAATGAGTTTAAGCTCATCATCCTAGCCTGGAAACTTGAGAGCAATTTGTTTCATTCTATGAGAGACTAAAGGTAACTGACAAAATACTCTCTGACAATGTGCATTTCTCTCCACTCAACAAGGTCATCTTACTAATACCTTCAACTTTGACAACTACCTTTTACAAATCTCAAACCTAGAACCAACACAAACCCTTGTGCATGTGTATAAGTCCTTTTAAGTCCTCTCCAGTTTCTCATGTAAAGAACTCAGGATTTGACACCTAGTTGCTCACTTCAGCCAAATTTTACCTAAACAAAATCTCCACAGAAAATGCAGAAATTGACTTGGTGAAAGTTAAGAATTTTAGCTCAAAAAACGTGTACTTTTGTTAGATGTTTTCCTGTATGACATAGTAACAGGCTCAACAGTGGTAGATTTGGCTATTGCCTAAGATTAGTTTCCTGTGAAAAGATGAATTCATGTTTCATACCAATGCTCCCTGGGTGGACATTTATTTCCTCCAGACGATCACAGTAAATCCCTTCAGATGCCCGAAGGAGGACCAGCAGCTTTAAATCCCTTTCTAGGGGATGTTGAAAAGAACCTGCAATAAAGACAAAACAGCAACAACCAACCACAGAGGTATCAATGGCTTTTGTAATGCTGAAATTAGGGGGGAACTGGGTTGCATGAATCCAAATTTAAAGATCTAAATGGCTGAACTAGCATTTCCCTCCTCAGCCCATTTTTGCCTTTCTGCTCCTTTACAATTTCACCAGTTCCCAGGTAATCAGGAGTTCTGCAGCCAGGATGGCTAAAATGGTCTTTCAGACCAATGGAAAGATTCTTAGCAGAAAAAAAAAATGCCCAAGAAGTTTTGGTGTGTGCAATGGTGCTCTTATCTCGTGGTGATAAGTCGGTACAGTAAACTGTATTCCAACTGTGAGTTCATTTATTTCACCAAGGGTAGTTTACAGTTTCAGAAGAAAATGGCCCAGCACTAAACAGATAGTAAGGAGGAAAAAGTAGGACAGTTTTCACCCTGGAGTAATGTATGCAGAGTCCAGTAAAAAAGTTCAGTGTTCCTTTAAAATTAGAGATTAAATCAATTATGCAACACAAAACTGCAGCAGATGTAGAACTAAAATATATATATACATATCTCTACAAAATTAGCTGTCCTGTCATGTTCTTTTAATATTAAAAATTACTAGTTTGGAAAAGAAAGCTGACTTTGTATCTTAAAGAAACATTCCTCCTTAAGAGAATTTTTTAATTAAGTGAAATCAATAAATAAATTAATTGTTCACCATCAGTCTCTGACTGATATCTGTGGATATTTAAATTCTCTGTACAGCTTTTAAATGGGTAAAAGACAAAGAGTACAAGACTTGCATGCTGCTCATCTAATATATCTCACACCAGTGAGCTCATATCTTCTCTGGGGACATGGAGGGAATTCAATCTTACAATGTCCATCATCCATCCAAACCATCTTTGACTTTCTTGTTTAAACTCCCATAACTGTGGTTAGAACAGAAGAAAATCAAGAATCATGCTGTAACCAAATATTACTTTCACAAAGTAAAACTAGTGATAATTGCTTTCACCACTGATGCACTAGATTAAACAAATATCCACCTAGAGCAGCAGAAGACTTATGTAGACATTTGCGTCTGTTTTTGTACATAGACTGATTGTTTTCCTGCTTCACTCTCACAGCAAGTTGTGATTTAAAATACTCAGTCTGAACATACCTTTCCCAATCCTCAGGTCAACCTTACCCCCTGGGATAAAGTTATTAGCTACACCAAAGACCAAAGAAAGACTCAACAAAAATGTTTGGAGACTTTTATATTGATCTCACAATGTTATTCACAATTAATATTTCCTAATCATGATGATGTTCCCCTGAAGTGGGGATTATTATTACTTATCATTCTGAATGACTGTTGGTGTTATTATTGGCATTATTATTTTACTCCTGATTACAAAGCATTTACTATTTCTTCTAGCTCTGTCAGTTAAAAATAGCTATGTGATATATACAAATCTCAGCACAATTTTAAAACCATTTTTAAGGAGTCTTCCAGGCTTAGCAATCATGTTGGAAATGTGAATTCTAAAGGCTTGAACTGGAAGTTGTCTCTTCTTTAAAAGAATTACGTCTACATTTAGCTAAAACTTGTGATTTTTAATCCTAAAAAGCATGACAAGAGGTTAAGGAATATTAGCCTTGTTAAAGAAAAAATGAAAAATATAATCAGAGTGAGAAACAAAGAAGTTATAATAAAACTATTCATAATAGCTCATCACCATGTTAAAACCTTAGAAAAAAAATTTAAAATGGGAAAAAAAATGTTCACAGAAATGCTTCAGTGGCTGCAAACTGCAAATGATATGTGACACAAAAGAACACAGAATATATCTATAAGTAGAAAAATTAGACTTAGAACAAAAATAATCTTAATATTCGCTTATTTCTATTGGTACTTCCATGGTTTTAAATCAATGGATTTCAGTAACTTCAACGCAAGTGCTACAGAAGAGTTGGCCCAGAAACTCATTGGACTATTAAGGTGGACTTTTCAGTAAGTTTGGGATCACTCATGATGTCTCAGAGCACTTGAAGAAAGCTAATATTGTGCCAATATTTCAAACAAAGATAAAAGTAAGAGCCCCAGGTGATTACAGGCCTGTCAACTTGACACTGATTCTAGGGGAAAAATAAATAAAAATGGAATGTCCAACTCTGAACACAATTAATAAATCATTAAAGGTGAATGATATAATTAATGCCAATCAACCCGGTTTTGTAGAAAAAAGGTCCTGTGAAACTTCCTTGTTACCATCTTCTAATGAGATTACAGGTTTAGTTGATAAAGATAATAGCTTTGATATAATATAATTGGCTTCTCCAAGGCACTTGACTTAGTAGCACAAAACTTGCCGGTTAACAAACTACGCTGGCACAACAAGAACATGGCACACATTAATTTACAGGCTGACTGACTAGAATTGGGGCATTGACTCAAGCAGGCCTGGTCTTGCAGTCCTTGTTGTAAGCAACATTTTATCAACGACCCCAAGTAGTGTGGAGATATTGAAGGTAAGTAGATAAGCTGAAACAAATGGGAAAAAAAAATTAAAGAGATGGGCCAGCAAAGTCAGCAATAATTTGGAAGTGAAGAATTAGGAAACAAAGTGAAAAATGTTCAAAAGATAAGACAACAGGTCTTGAAAAGGTAATGCTCTCTCTGTGAATGGATGGAGAACAAAGGAAAACAAAGGGAAAGCGGAGTAAGGCCTGAGATACGCATGTCAGCTTAGTCTAAATACAGCCCTACAGAATGGCTCATGAAAATGGAGATATGGAAAAGGCAGCTACCTCGGCTTACTCATAGGGAAATCCAAAATAGTTAATGTACACAAGTCACTGGGGCTGGGTAAGTTTCATGGCCTTGCAAAGTAACTGGCATATGAAATCACAGCTCTTGTAATAAGTAGTTTGTTAAAGTTACCAAGTTGGTATAAACACTGTAATCATAATCTCTGCAACACATATGTGAAGGATCTGGGCTTTAAGTGCCTGTCTTTGAACTTTGGATGTGAAAATTTCAGGTTTCTTGCCCCACTTGATTGTGGTGAACAAGTCTTACATTAAGATCACACCAAACTGTCGAATTACCCATCCTGTACATGAGACGTGCAGAAATGGATCCTACTTCATACTGCAACTGGAAGGCTTACCAATTTGATCAGCAGCCTAGTTGATCATAATGTGAGATAACAAGGCACTGCTGACAGAGAACCAGAAAAAAGGTAATTGCAACCAGAAGCTAGCAGAAGTGTCAGGTGAGACGTGCAGAAAAGGTCACGAGGGTCTAAAGACAGCGTACGCAGAAAATAGGTAGGGCTTCCTCAAACACATGTTCTTCCCACTGGAAAGTTTATCTGGAATTTGAAAGGTTTGCTCATCTGTCCAGAAATGACACATGTCTGCCAGCCTGAGCAGTGCTCCTGAGCAGTGTTTTGTCCACTCTGGATACGTCAGGTATCTCTTCAGTGCGGAGACTGATCAATCTGTTGGGGCATACACAGCAACTGTGCAACTTCCTATGAGCTGGGCTTTCTGCGCAGACACTGCACAGTCGGTTTGTGCCTTCACTGTCTGTCTGATGACAGATGTCACATCAAATGGCCTCACTGCAGGTGTGTGACCTCCTACAGGGGGTATCTAAAGCTGATGTTCTTCCAGGGAGTGCTGGAACCACAATGCATGCACTACATGATGCAAAAAAACCCCAAACATATACGATAATCCTATGTGTAGGAAACAACCTATGCTGCTAATAAAGTCACCACTGATTACATACTTTCCCAAAGAAATGTGAGGTCCAGCTGCCTGGATTGCAATGCAGATCTGTTAGTGCAATGCTTGCAGCTGGTTCATAATCCTCCATCAGGTCTAACTTTTGGAGAGGATAAAAACATACTATGAGAAAATAGGGGGGGAAAAAAGGGGAGAACAGAGAGAGAGGTGTGTTTTTTCTGTCCAGATTTTCACTTATCCTGGACTGCAGCCTGGATCTAGTTTTCTGTTGAGTTTCAAAAGCATTTTCCATTGTTTTCATATTTCATTTTTATTCCAGATGTTCTTCCTGACAATTTTTTGTTGTGTTTTTTTCTTTTTCCATAGAAAAACCTATTCAATTCTTTCCTAGAACAGTGGGTGTTTTCTCCCATCTAACCTTTTCTTTCTTTACAACATAACACTCTGCAACAGCTGTTGTATATAAGAGCAAGGAAATCTGAGATAAGATCGACTTCCTTCTATTGGCAAATAGTCTTTGCTAAGTATCTTGCTGTGATCATCTCCACTATCAGCTCCATGTTTCCTGAATCCAAAACTTCTTGGACTCTAGCTACCCAGCTATTTTGAAAACTGTAGTATGTTGTCACCAGAAAGTCTGAAGAGTTTTTATTCATGGTCAATACACAGCCAGATAGTCACCTAGTGTTAGTTCTCCTTCCTGACCTGTTCCTTCAGGTGTTCAGACGGCACTCTACAAAGAAGCCTGTAAAAGCAGCCTGTAAACAAGGAGACATCAGATGGGTTGCCTTTGACAGATGGTGATGCCAAATAAACAAGAGATGAGAGACAGACAGCTGTGGAATAGGAACCAGCAGCCACAAGTGAGAGATAAGTGTCTAAGGAACAAGAAGTGAGACATGTAGGATGGGATTCAGCTGCCTAAATATAGATGTTTAATGTTTAATCTGAGAGTCCTAGTGCCCTCCAAATCCACTACGTGAGGTTGCCAGATACAAGGCAGGGATCAATGACAGAACAATGGCTTTTCAAGCAGAAGCTGGAGGCCAGGTGGAACACCTGAGGGTGCCCAAAGTGATGCAAAATCCTTATAGTTAGGGAACTGAACCGTGTTTCCAGGGAGATTCATATACCTACATTTAGGTTTCTTAATTTCCATGTTCTCTGGCTGTCTGAGCTAACAAAGATCACACAATACAGCACAGATTGTAATTTGCTCTACATACCTGTATCAGCCAGTCCAACTGACTGCAGTGACTGCATTGACTGTATTGACTAAATCTCTGTTGAAACAGGCAGCTCACTCGCTGACGTCCACATGTTACACCTAAACTTGGCTGTCAAACACATGAACCAAATCCCTTCTCTAGATGGTATGATTAGTTAAAAGAAACCAAGTGGCTTGGAAAGGGTAAAAACCAAAGAGATAGAAGATGAGAGATTAATTGAAGGGAATGCAGATGGTGCAATGAACTTTTCAAACCACTTTTTCTGTCATCAGGGATGAAAATTTCTCTCAATATATCAACAGTATTCCATCTTCATACAAGTTGAGTAACTGTGCAGGGGTGCTCTGTGACTGCAAGATGGGACTCAGTTTATAGCTAAAGAAGATGAGACCTACTCAATAGAGGTACCAGAGAAGTTGGAAAAGATAGTAAATTGGTGAAACTCACTTGTGCACTAATTGTTATAAGGGTGAGCATTAAACATCACTAACACATGGCCGTTTCATGAAGTACACTGATTTACCCTTCGGGAAATCAGTATGGGAGTTCTTGCTAGTACTGAAAAGAAGGGGAGTGAATGTATTAGAGCTCTTACCATAAGCAAGATGAGAGACATCAGAAATGTCTGGGGTTTCATCTTCAGACAATCAAGCCACGAGCTAATGATGACCTTAGGCTTCTTGCCTCAAATGAGTGACATGAGTGACAAGCAGCCATCACGAGATATGCAAAAAAAGAATCTGACAAGTTGAGACTAAAAAGAAAAATCCTATCTGGATAATTACTTGGCAAGTTCTACTATAAAAAAATAAAAATAGCCTGCCAGCAAAGAGCAGCTGAATACAGTGGAGTTCAGGATGAGTCCGATGGATCCATTTGTGCAAAACGAATTTCAGGATTTTCTGCAGCCTTATCAAGAGCTGAGGGTTTTGTTCAGCTGTGGAACAGGGCACTTTATGCACGTATCATCTGTGTTTAATGCTGACTTATAGGTTAAAATGAATGGAACCATCCTAGCCAAGAACCGAAAAAAACTCTGAGACGTTGAGCTCAACATTTCTTTTCTTACTCTGACACAGGTGTGCTAATGATATGTAGCAAATCATTTAATCTCTCTGAACCTCAAACTCTCCTTCTATAAACTGGAAAAACATCTGATTTTTTTACAGCATGGCAACACAGGGAGGTAGAAATAAATGGTATTTCTAAAATGTTATTGCAAATATCACCATTAAAGAACAGACTTTGAAAGCTTAAGTGAAAAAGAGATGCTCGTTATCTGGGAGCTAGGACTACTAAAGAAGAAGTAACGAGAAAGTCTCCCTGGGACCAACAATGCTGAAGAGCTAGGAGCACCCAGAGAAGTTACTGTGGGGATAGATCCACACATTTTACTTCTGAGTTGTCCAAGGGCTCTGACAGAGTTCTTGCAGCTCTTTATGGATCTTTAATTATCTCACATTTCCCAGTGATTTCATTGATCATAATTCACACTGGATTGTGATCATACATTGAAGAGGAAAACGATGACAGTCCCTGCAGAATCAAAGGTGTCCCAAGAATTCTGATCTGCCAAATATCATTGTATTTTCTCATCCCAGTTTCCTTGTAAAGTATTTTTTAACAAAATGAAGCTCTTGTTGATGTTCATAAACTCCAATTTTGCACTTTTTTCCCCCTTTCTTACTTATTTCTCACCATCACTCAGTTCCTATATACTTATAGTCTTGTTTTAACCCTCTGACTTTGTTTTTTTCCCTGCAGATAAAATGCCAAGTGCTCTGAAGGACACCAAAGTCCAAGTAAGATTTGTTTCTAGAACTTATCATTGTTCTTTAGCAGTTTAAGTGAACAAAATACTCAGCCTCTACCAGAAAGTCTTTGGCCCAGGCCACTGAATTAGAAGCAATGGCATGTGACCAAAGATTGCTATGCTGAAAACAGGGCATGGAGAAGTTACAAAACAGGGAGGACCTGGGGATTTGGCTCACATGATGTCAACCTCAGATCCCGCTCAGGCAATGCTGAATGCTGATGTCCACATCTATTAAATCTGTTTACTAAACTGTCTCATTATCTATTTTGTGTCAGGATTTCTTTAGGGTGTGGTAGAATTGGACAGATGGGCTGCAAAACCTTCCTGCAGGCATGGAAGATTCAGGATGGGACAGATGGGCTCCAAGAAGTTACCTTTAGGCCTCGAACACATGGGAAGAGAAAGAGGAAGGGAAAAAAAATCATGCACTCCCAGTTTTACAAGCAAGCATAGAAGCCAGTATAAGATGTGGGAAACTTGCAGAGTCTCTCCCCACCTATCATCTCACAGCAGAAACAAGAGCAAGGATAGCTCTCCAGAAGATGCCAGACTACCATTCAACAGCTGCAAATACCTGTTTGGCTTTTAATATCGTTACTACTCACAGATGTGCTGGAGGGGAGTTTGTGCAGCAAGGAAGTGCCTCAATGTTTTTTTAATAAGTGTTTTTAGAAATGAACACATGCTTTTTCTTAAAACCAATATGAAACCATATTTAAACTACAAAAGAGTAAGTAAGAAATGACTGAGACTCTTTTAAGTGTATATATATATATATTAACCTCCCAGATTAGGCTTTCAAACCTCCTTTTCCAAAGAAAAACACAAGACAGCGAAATAACTCTTTTGGCCAGTACAGTATTAACTAAACAGTCCCTTGAGATTAACAACAAACAAATATTGGAACAGATTTCCTCAGGAGGTGATTACACAAACAAATTCTCTTTAAAGTTCATGAAACCAATCTTGAGAAAGGTCAAGCAGTGATCAACAATGTGATCCCAACGTCCTAAGGATTCCTGTAAGTAAATACAATGCCTGGCTTTAGGAACTTTGATATTTAAAGGGAATTATGTGAGTAATTACTTCTCTGTAGAAAAACACCGATCCTGTCTGTTGCAAATAATGTGGAACAGCATCTGTGACATTGGGGACTCTGAAACCACTGGAAGTAGGGGTAAAGTGGTAGGTCCCTCCCTGAAGTCCTAGTGCTCATCTATGCAGAGGGATGAGAGGAACAAATGTGCTGAATCCTGCTGTGCCAGTTTCATGCCACAGCGGGATTTCCAGGCACTCTGGGGATTCTCCGTGACTCTGTTTATGTTGGCTTTAAATACTTCTGTGTCACCTAGGAAGTGTCTTACTAATGCCCACAGACACCGGGCACTGCCTGAACACTAAGGTAGAACCTGCCCTGAGGAATTACTGTCTCATAAAGCAACTCCACATGAAGTAGTGAGGACTTTTACACATATTGGATAAAATCTCAGCCACCATGAAACCAGGAGTATTGCCATTAGCTTCAGTGGGGTGAAGATCACAGTATTTGTAATATGTTGCTATTAAATGAACAGGTAATTAGCTCCAGTGGATAATCATTGTGCTTAACGTGTATTCTGAGTGTCCACATTGCAGATATCCAGATAACTATGGGGCATTAGGATGGCCAGCATGTTTGTAGTAAAAATATACAATCTTTCTCTGTCTATCGAGAGCACAAATAAACCCCAGGCATCCAGAAGTCAGGCTGCTCACTTACCCACTTTCAGCGTACCCCCCACCACCACAATACAGGCTGCACTCAGGACATTGCTGGAGTTGCTGGGGAACTCGAGGGTCCCCAGGATGTAAAGACCTCTTAGAGGGGGAAGAGCCATATCCACCAGGATGGTCCGGTCTGAGAAACAAAACAAAGGGTTGTTTAGAGTAATGGCAGCCTACCAACACTACTTGCCCAAAAATGTGGCATGGAGGTGAAGAATGTTAGCTTTGCTTGAGTTTTGCTTCATTTAGGTTGTTTTTGCTCAGACCTACTGGAGCAGGGCTTGTGTGTTTGTGCAGCATCCACAACCAGATCTTCATCTACAGCTGAGGCTCCATGATGTGGGTGTAATATGCTAAATTAATAATAACATCATATTTACAATTATATTGTTGCATGCTTTAATCACATCAAACGTTGCTTGAACCTTCAAGAATGCATGTGAAGGGCAGTAAATTAAAGACATGTTAGTCTCGCTAGGCGAATCTGGCTCTGTTTATGCAAGTCTTGATCATCCAATGCAATGAACCAGGACTAAGTTAAGCTGTGTCCAGACAGCATTTTTCCCTCACAGTATTGAAGGGAACAAGATTGATGGAAGTTAAAAAATACAACGGTGTCAAATCAGTGCTTCATGACACAAAAAGCCTCAAGTCCCCACCTTGTTAACGGCAATGATCAGGGTGACCATCTGAAGCCACACACCACAACCTACCTCCGATGACACCTTGTCACTGCTTTTCCCTCTCTGAAGTTTGACTTTGCTCTCCTCTTCCTCACCAACTAAAAGGAAAGCTTTGCTTACATCAACACAATCTGCAGGAAGCCAGACTTCTTCACTTCTGTATTCACAGGATTACTCCTTCCCTGCTAATAAATTGGTTAATAGTGACCAGGGGAAGCACCATTCCCTCAGATCCTTAAGGACAAAACAAGGAGCATACTTTTATATTGCAGAACAGAGTGGGGACTGTCGTTGATTGAGCACAATGACAGCATCACTGCTGCCTCTTAAAGCTGCAAGTCTACACCCTGTGAATCTTTTAAATGCCACTTAAGCTTTCCAAGTAGGACATGAGAAAGGACGTAAATGGTGTCTCATTTAGAGGTAGCCCACCGCACAGAGGTGAATTCCACCCTCAGGCCCCATCTAATGCTCTTTGATGTCACTAGGAGATTTTCAGTTGATTGCACTGGGAAACAGCCCAGGCCCTTAAATTGTGGTTTCCATCTCCTTTCATTATTGACAAGAGTAACAATTTCCAGATATGGTGCATCTTTCAGTCAGTGGATGTCCCTGGGAAAAGGAAAAGCAAGGTACTTCCTTAACAGAGGGTTCAATAAGATGATCTAATTGTGACTCTCATAGAAATAGCTTGCAGAAAATAAGAATCTTCAACACAGTGGCAGCTGCCAAATCCTACCCAGAGATCTGCTGTGACTTTCATTAATCTCATATGCAACACATACGCTAGGATTTATTGCAAGGCACAAATATACAAAACAGGAGAGATTAAGGAACACGCCTATTTTCCAATGGATTTTGACAAAGTGGTGAGAATGGGCCACTTGAAACAGTTTCGGTGTGGAACATAGGAAGAGCCATGAAGTGTCTTGGGAAGTGAATCAGCTACTTCACCATTTTGTTTCTGCCTATAGTCATTAGAAGCTGCTTTGGATGAAGACACAAATGACTGTGCAATAGGTAACACAGGGAAAGTCCTTTCTACAAAACATAATTAGGGGCTGACTGAAATCATTTAGCACAAAGGTTTAAGAATTTTTCTAAATCCTGTTTGCAGGAAACATAATCAAAATCTACACGAAGTACACTCAGAATCGGACTGAAAAAAATATGAGTAGGCTGTCTTTAATAATAGCATTTCCTAGTTTTTGACTCTGGTTTTGCAACCCTGAAGTTTCATAGCTTAAAGGGAGAGGAAATTTCTGCATGGTTTGGGGTCCTGGGTCTGCTTGCAGATTTGTTTGTCTCTTCTACATGCATTTTCCTATTTTATCCCTGTAACTCAATCATCCCACCTCTTCCTTTCCTTCTTTCCTTTCTTTTTTTTTTTTTTCCCCTCTCCTTCTTTCTCTCTGGGCGTCAACAAGGGACACCCTGAAAGCCCAGGACCTCTGTTCTCAAGGACTACACCAACTACTGCAGCAACCCATGGTTACTCTGAACACCTCATCTCAAAAGAAATTCCCCGCATCCTTGGGGTGAAGTAACTTTCAAGCATGCAAAATTTGCCCAGCATTCACATGTAATAAGTCTCTACAGAGTAAATGCAATCTTTTTTTTTCCCCCTAAATCTCATACTGTTAGTACTTGATACATTTTCAGAGGCATGAAGAAACTCCCGTCTATAATCTCTTTACAGGACAGGTATAGTCCTATGCCCCGCAGAGCTGAGAATTGAAGGCACAGTATGTGAGGATATGAAACGGAGAAGAGAATAAGGGGCAAGATGTTGTTAAAATGATATCTCTCAGACAGAAGGGGAATCTAGTTTGTGAAATCACAGCTCAAGAATGTGGCAAAAAGCTGCAGTTGACAAAGGCCATAACTATATTCATCAAACACAGACTGAAACATTTTTACAAGGAAAAGGAGAAGTGCTCCTAGGCATACCATTTATATGTCAAGTTTCAGTCTAGAACAGATATTTTTGCTGAGTTGGACATATTTCTAAAAAAGGTTTTATAAAGGAAATGCTGACTGCTCTGTAACTGTAGTGTCATGTATGTGAGCCTTAAAACACAGGAGTGAGAAATTCTCCCATTCAGTGATATCTCTGCAAACGTATAGTTTCCTCAGTTTAAAAGAACATCATTCTGGGCTGTAATGCTTGGGGTGTGAAGTCTTCGGAGGGTGAAATATTGCTCTGTAGAAAGAACAGAATAGTCCTCTGAGGAAAAAAAGTCCTTCCATACTTGAGGAGAAAAGCAAACAACTTTAAAGGAGACGTCCTTACAGAATATACTCATTTATGTAGTAGAGGGAGATGATGACTAAGCGGTTAAAATCATAAACTTTAGGTCACTGAGCTCAAGGGATTTACCTTCAGAGAAAGGCAAACTGAAGTTGTTTTTCTCCCATGAAGACATTCGTATACTGGCAAGCAACAACTTTCAGCAAACCATAGTTTGAGCCTGAAAACAGGGCTACACTTCATTATACATATACTTTCTTCAGACAAAAGCTCACAGGTATGCCAGAGTCTTAATGTTCAGATGTACAATACTGAGAAGTCACTAATGACTCCAGCAATGACACAAAATGCCTTTGATCAACCGCATCGCTATATAAAACACCATAGCACGCCATTGAATGGAAATCAGGCACAACAGAAGAGCTATTATATGAGATACAGTACTCCAGCATTCATCTCTTCAAACAGAAAAAGTTCAAAGAAAATCAAAATCAGAAAATGAATAACAGAGTGAATTCCACCACTGGAAAAAAAAAAAAAAAAAAAGGAAAAAAAAAAAAGAAGAGAGAAATTGCCAGAGGCTACATGATATCATATCAATACCCTTCAAAACAGCATTCCATTGCTGGAATTATAACACATTCTCCTTCCACCCGGAGCATGCTGCATCAGGAGTGTGTCACACTGAAAACCATAAACCAAAGCCCTGAAAATCCAAGGGCTTGAGAAGTTAATGCCACTGCTGGCCACCAGAATGGCATGACTAAACTCATCCAGCTTGTTTTTCAAGGTGGTGTGACTGCTGAAGCCTGATGCATGTGAGAGGTCCTTGTGGGATGGTTGTGGCTTTGGAGGATGAACCTCCAGAGATAAAAGCACAAGTTATTGCTGTCTGAGGTAAAGATTTCCAGCTGGGGCTGGAGGAGACTTATGTCTGCTGGGGAGCCAGACACTGAGGGGACTTGTAACACACCAACACTAAAAGTCACTTTAAGATGAGTGACCCACCTCTGTTGCAAATGAAATTTATCCTTGTACAATGAAGTCTATGAACTCCTGAAGTCTCACCAATGCTTTCAAAGCAGAGCAAAAAATGGAATAATTTAGTACACAACCCCAATTTCCAAGCCTTCCAAAAAGTACCCTTCAAGCAGCAACACAAAAACCTGTTTTTTAATATGAATATTTTGCTGATAGAGATGTTTTCTAGCTTTTCAAACTTTCCTGAGTCCAGTCCATGAGGCAGACCTAGTGATGCAATTTTGCATATTTTGTTAAATAAGCAAATTTAAGCCTTCAGTAGCTAAATAGAGGCAGTGCCCTAGCTCTTCAGTGAACTCAGGGAATCCATGCTCATTCAGAGATTTCAACAGTGTCAGGCACAGACCAAAGTCTTCCTGTCCACTTCTTCACACTGGAAATGAGCGCTAAACTTGTATTATTTGTTTTTATAAGACTTTAAATCTGTTCTTTGAGGGCTGAAAGGACTTAACCAGTAATGTACAGGATACCAGAATTAGACCCGTGGCTTGGCTTTCAACCTGAAAATTGTTATGAGTGGCTCCCAGAAGAGAATTATAAGTAACTAAAAGACAGTGAAGTGTGAGACACAGCTGCATCTTTCCAGGAGTGAACTGCAAAAACTTATTTTAGTGTGTACAGTAGCACAAAGTTTGGGTGGTTTGCAGAATGTTTGTTCTCATGAGAACAAACTCTCACTTTTCTGTAGCCATCTGGAGTCATTCTGAGTTAAGCATGATATGCAAAAGCCAATGGAAATGAGACTCGAAACATCCATAAAATGTGACGATTAAACATAAATTTAAAAATTGTTGATTTCATTTTAGATTTTGAATCCAAGCAAGGGGTTGGCTTTCTTGTAACTGGAAACTCATAAACGCACTTGTGGCAGCAAAGCAAAGTATGACAAATGGACAGAAAATTCATCTTGCCTAATCACATTTTAGGTGCCTTCATTTGAGCAACAAATCCAGTGCCCTTATCACACTAATGATGACTGTGACTCCAATTTAAGACCCTGCACTCTGTTGACTCCCACTGTCAATAAATGTTTCAACACCTCCAATCCAGCAAGAGTGAACAGGGAGAGTAAAAAGAAAGTAGAGGGAGAATATCAGAAAAGGCAGCCATGCAACAGAGCAGTTCTCTCTCAAAATAGATTGGGTGATAGACAGCTTGTGTTCATGTCTGTGTTCATGTTGTTGGGCTAAAATTGAAGAATAATTCCAGAAAGTCACTGGAGAGAAGAATAGTTTCTGCACACCAACTAAACTCACATATCTACTCTAGTGGTGGGAGCTAAGAGATTTTTATCACTGATAGGAAGAAGACAGCTGCAGAGTATGGCTCTCCACCAGTCCTAGCAGGCAGTGCATCTTCACTTATCATTTGTCTCTTTCCTTTTCATCCATTAAATATTATGTTGTGGTTTTGCTGTTCAGTAAAGCTCCTCTGAAGAGCTGAGACAGCTTTACTGTACACTGTGGAGCACCCTGGTCTAAGCAGCTGAACATGGTGATTCAGAACGGGGAACTCCTAGGGTCTCATCCTGCTCAGGCAACAACTTGCGTTCTGGTTTTGGGCAACTTTTATTGTCCTGGTCCCTCAATTCCTCATAGGCAGAGAACATTCCCGTCCATGGTAAAACACAGATTATGTCTAATAGTCCAATCCTTATTCTGCTGCCTCCCAACCAGTAGGCATCAGTATGTTAGAAAGAATCTCTATACCACACCCCGCAGCACAGTGCAGACATTCCCCAGTTAAGCTGACCAAACCAGCACTTCTCTAAATTTATGAGACGTTAGTTCTGACCTCAAAGGTTGTGCGATCATATTGCACAGTGCCAGACCTGAGCTAATGAGCTTTGTCTCTCAGGAGAGCTAATTAGTTCTGGTATACCAGCATGCTGATGCGGCGGTATTGTTTCCAATCCTAGAACTAGATCAACTGGTCTGAGCTGTGGGCAGCTACGTGCAATGCTTCAGGCACATCTTAGTCATGAAGGGCCTTGTGGTATGTGACAAAGGCCATGGTCAATATCTCAAGTGGCAGCTAAAATGAGTTATTTTATCAAGAGGATTACATCCACCTTTGCAGGAAGCACAGAGGAGTTTTATTCATAGATGAATTTGCAATGCACTGAAGGACCATCACAACCTCAGCATCAAGCTTCTACTCTCTCAATCTAATCTAAACAACAGAACTCCAAACCCTCAGCCAAACCTTCTTATTTGTTTATTTTTTTACTTTCTACTGCTGTGTAAATTGTGATTTACCTCCTGTGACCATCTGATCACACGGCACATCATTAACTCACTGTGAGTGCAGAGGTCTTAGGTACCAGTGGCACCTTTGTGCGTCTTCATATCTGCATCTGACACATGATTTTGAAGACTGAAATGATCTGATCTTTTGACAATCATGGGCTGATATTGATGAACTGGTTATAAGGTGATACACAAGAAGTAGAAACAAATGATCTGGTGTTGTCTCTAGCCTTGTTCTCAGAGTGATATGAAGGAAAAAATATGCAATGGTGTGCAAAATCCAGCCATGGCAAGAGGATCCAAAAGAGAGAAAAGCACATGGGAAATGCCCCACTGTTTAATGCCTGTGTAAGAAGTCAGATATGATGGAGATGAGAGTGGAGTAGGAACCAGGGAGCACAGGACAGAAAGGACATTTTCTACATTTCTGAATGGGAAGCAGGCACATGTTCAATATGAAGTACCAGTGACACGGCTGGAGTAATGTTGTTGAAAAAGGAAACCAAGTCTAGCATTTTGGGTGCTGCATTTGGACTTTCGAGGTCGAGGGTCAATCCCCTGTTCTGGTACACCTTCCCACTGGCAAGACTTTTACATGGTTGTTAGTGGCAAGGGAAACAGACGTAGACTTACACATCATGGTTCAAAGGACATACATTAACTGCAAGCTAGGTTCATATCTCAGATGCTGCTGAACATGCTCTGGAGAAATGGGTCTCAGGCCTCAATTTATGGCACCAGAACTGAGCTGTCTGATGGGAGCTAGGTGTCTAAACTCCCACCATAGTAAATTCATTTAAGTATTTAGTACTATCTCAAATGCCCTTGGATATTTGAGACCTCACACAGGACTAGCAAATGTGACATGGAGGACACTTGTGACCATCTAGGGTTTCACCTGACTAGGTAGGATGCTCCTGGAGTGCTTCAAACCACACTAGATATCTTCATATAAGCAAGTGACTTGAGCCCTGGAGCTCTACATAGTACCATCAGTGAAGAAAAACTTAGATATCCACATTTGGTCAGGTCAGTAACTCTTCCAGCTCTATTAAATGTAATGACAAGGAACATGTTAAGATGCCTAAGCATCTGTGCTTACTGTTACCTTGGATGCACACAGGACACGGAACCTAGAGGAGATAAGCAAACCCCTGGAGGGACACTTCTGTGTCTTCTCTGGCCTCTGAACTTACAAACACTTAGCCACATTTATGCATTACAGGTAGTGAGATCAGGGAACTGAAAAAACCCCTACATTGTGCTTTTTTGACAGGAAAGAGGGATCTAATCAGAAAATGGAAATTATCTACTCTTCAGTTCAACCTAAGTTCCCCCAAAAAAGTGAAGAAAAGCATTCTTTCAAACAATATAGGGGTTTTTCACATTTATCAGAAAACTGAAGATTAAGCTAAATATTCATTTAAGCTTGAACATCATTCTTAATTAAACCTGAAATTATATGTGTATATTACTTTTAATGATACAGAACAGAGAAGCACTAACCATGACTGAGGATCCATGTCCAAATGCCAACCCAAAGCAACAGAAACTTCCTTCCACAAAGACTTCATAAGCCAAAAACAGGCAGAAGAGGAAGAGACAAGGGAACAGTGCTATCTCCATTACCAGAAGTGGAGGTAGGTACAGTCATCTGGTTCCAAACAAATGAGGAGGAGCCAGCACCAGATCCTAGAGTACGTCAGGTATATACCAGACTGTATTCATCGGATCGTACGATAATTATGTCTGGAAGTCCAACTTCCTGATCAGAACAGAGTCAGCAGTTACATAAAATGGTTATCACAAGTTTTTCCTCCAGATTTCATTGCAAGTTGCCTAATGTATTTGCTAGAATTCAGAAGGTTGTTCATGGAATAAGGTTGTAAACTGAGCTGGGATTTAAATGCAACTCAAGTCTGAGGTTGAAACACAGGCATAGGCTAAAATGTCTAGGGGGTATCCATGGCAAATGGCTTGAGAGATTATCATTGATAGTGGGAATTGCAACAGGAAAATAAAATGGAAGGCAGAATAACTGTGGAAAGGTAAAATATTCTCCCTGCACAAAACACGGAGAGGTGCGTCAAGAGATGAGCTCTTTGTGAGCTGTGATTCTGGATCTTGCAAATTGTCTGCTCCTGAAATAAAGTCCCTGCATATACTTAGGCTTGAATATCGGTATGAGTAAGTGTGTGTGTTTGTGTGTATGTGTAAATGGAAAAGAATGATTATTCTCTTCCAAAAATCACACTTTTGTACTGTAGCCCAGATGTCAATGTCATGATGAACAAATGTGCTGTACTGCACACACTAGAACGGACACTAGTGCCAAGGAGCCCGTGTTACAACATAAGTACATATCCTAATGTAGACAGACCACAGCACCCCTACAGAAATTAAACACCTTTCCTTCCTTCCTTACTAGGTAAGATGATGACGTCTTCTCCAGGGCCTGGGATGCTGCCGTTGGATCCACCCCAGCCTTTTTCCACATCATTCCATGTCCCTGGGTGTGACCATTTCAAGACAGCATTGGAAGGAACTACAAAACAGGACATACAAAGACAGAATTATCATTTTCAGTAGCTGGAAGAATGATAATTTCTTTGATAGTCAAGTATCTACGGCATTAACATCCTCCTTTTGTAACTGATGAAGCAATGCTAAATGCACTTTGTTATCTTTCATGCTTAAAGGAAGCTGCCTAATGGGAAAAAAAGATCTCTTCCAGGACCATGTTTTCACAGTTAAAGAGCAGGGAGATAACTGAGAAAAACAGATTCAAATTCTTTGGGACCTATCAAAAGCAAAGCCAATTTTGAGGTTTATTATGTTATGCCTTGTGAATACATTCACAATATTTTTATTTATTTCATCCAAAACTCTGAGTTCTTTGAACACAAAATTAAGACGAACAAATGAAAATAAAAGCCAGTCACCTGTGCTTGATGACAAAACCAGATGATCGAAATGGTAACTACCTCTACCAGAAAGTGCCAACTCTTCTCATGCATTTTTTTTTTTCCCCCAGCACCCTAGAAAGCAGAATGAATTCCCTGGGTATGGGAATTTCCATACTTTCCCAAAGTATGAACTATTTTAAAAAATGAGTGATCAACTCTCACAAGCTTGTTAACCCTCAGAAAAGCAAGAGTCTTCCCATTGCAAGGGTTAATTAAGACTCGCCTTGGAAAGACAACTTGACTGAGACACATGGCAACTCCTGCTCATTCCCCAAAGATTTATTTTTGAGCTCAATCCAAAAAGAAACTTCTGAGCCTTGGTATCAGGGAAATATTGGGAGAAATTAAGTTCACAAAAGGTAGGTGCTTAGCTTGCACTTGTATTTTTGGCAGCTAATGAGCCAGTCTTCATAAATTAGTCGCCTAAGTTTGTTCTGCCATCAAGAGAGGAAGAAAAGCCTTCAAGGGGAAATCCTGTACATTAAGTTTAGTAAGCCCTAAACTAATGCAGGCAGGGCCTCCCTCTGGAGGCCCCTACAAGCACCTACCTCTGTCTTACCACTATAAAGGAAAGTCTGCCATTTTTTTTTCTTGAGGAGGGCTTCATTAGGTATTGAAAACACATGAGCAAGCTCACATCTAACTGTGGGGGGCTAGACTCATCTCAGTAACACTGTGGAGTAGGAAAACCTTCCGTTGCCAGCACAGGGAAACGCAGAGAAATCAAACCCAGGTGGAGCTCCTTAAGCCTGGGTCTCTCTTTCCGTTACTTCTGTGTTCAGGGGGAAATACTCTGCAAAAAGGTTTCTCAAACCTATTTCCACTTAAACTGTTATTGTTGTTAATATGCAGCAAGGTAGCTATGCAACTAAGACCAAACTTGGGAGATCTTCCTTCTCTCTGGTGTATTTTTCTGTCTGATTTGACATGTAACTGTGCAGTAATGTCAGACTATTACGCCAAGATCACTATGGAGCGCTAAAATACACTGTAGTCTTACATTCTCCATGACCTTTCTGATCTGCTATGGTATTTCTTAGCAAAAGTTTATAGTCTTTTATACTGTGGAGTCACACATTTATCTTGAGCAACGGTAGATACGGCTCAATGAAATGCTTAAATGAATGCCAAGAATCCCTGTTGGGTTGATAGATGTACAAAATATTGAAGTGAAAAATAGCAATCTATTTCTGAAAAAGTAGTAAAAAAGAAATGGTGTGATTCCCAGACCAAGCCTTTCAGACGCAGACTGTCACGCACCTGGGGCAGGCAAAGCCACTCTTTCCTTCTCTTTCAGTGTGACCTGAATTAACTCAGCTCCTGTGACTGAACACAGAGAATTTTAGGGAGTTACAGCAAGGCCTTACAAATTAACACAAAAAAATCATAGTAAATCAATTGTTACATGTGATTTTCTGACAAAATTTTGTATTTCTAACAAATAGATTTTTTTAAGACCAACTATACATGTTTTCTAAGCATTTTTGTCTTTTTTGTGCTTTGAGAAAGGATTAAACAAACACATTTTAATTTACAGATACAGAGGGTCTCTAGACAACTCATTAGAAACAGCTAAAAGAAAACATTCAACAATCAGAAATTCTAGACTGGAACACGAATCTCATTTATCCCACTATAAATCCACAGCAGTTCCACTAACACAAGTGATATCACACCATTGAATGCATAATGTATTAACTGGCTCAAACAGCAAATTAAATCTTTTGTTTCGTAGTTTGGTTTTGATTTTTTTTCCCCCAAAATCTGGTATTTGAAAGAGATGCTTTAATTAGTCAGACTTTATAGACTGAAGACAGGGACCCTGTGTTCTCTACTGTGAAAAGAGGTCAAAAGCAATTATCACAGTTGTAACCTTTGTGCCAGTATATCGTCAGCAGGAGAGGGGCCAGGATAGTGCAAATCAAACTAAAAGGAGCAGGAGAAAACTACTTCAGACCCAGCTAAAAGGCTACCTTCTCTTCATCTCCAGCGGCATATAAAGTTACTTCCTTTCAGTCACCAGACTGGAACAACCATAGGTTAAAATAGAAAGACTCTGACAAACAGATAAATCTCCTGTCCACTGCCCAACCCCTTATGGTGACCTTAAGATGTCATTGGAAGATTTTTGGGGGATAGAAGAATTGTATAAATGAAGCCATGGTCAGAACTTTCCTCAGTTCTAGAACATGCCAGGAATTTTCCTATGTGTGTATCAACCCACTGATGGGATTTCATGCCATATTGTAATTTACTTATTTTATCTTTAAACAAGTCTCTGTACTTTTAAATTGTGAAAACCATCCTTCCCTACCTCCCTCTTTTTCTCCCAGTGCAACTGAGCAAATTTAAAATAACCGAGGTTCATTAATTTTAAGTGTTCAATAAATTAGTATGAATAATCAAAAAACTTGATTCTTTCTGATAATTACTATTTGATGTCAGTTGAAAGCATTCGATTGAGTTAGCAGCATATGCTCCTATGCCAAATGAGGCTTCCATAATTAAATAGAAACTGATTCCATGAGGTTTTTCTCATGTCTGATTAATTAGTAATCAGGTGCCTCAGCCCTGTTCTTCAGTGACACCTTCTCTCCCAATGGTAGCTGTGATCTGATTCATATATCAGTCGAGTCAATCTGCCCCAAATCATCACATAGAGCTCAAACTGAACAGCATCATGCCTTTGGGTGGCCACAAGGTGAACCTTTGAGGAGAAAGAATGACATGGGCATGCTAATTTAAAGTCTTTGACACAGTTCATGTGGCTTTTAGACAATACTCTTCTGTGGGTACTTTTATGGTTATAGTGGTCTTCCTTCTCTTTTCACTTGTAGCGGGGCAAATCAGGAGTCAAAGATGTTACATCAGTCTTAGGAAAAGTAAGAGAACCAAGCCCAGACACTATCATTTTTTAATAAATGTACCTTGTCAGGTTTGCTGGGGGTTTTTTTGCTTAATTTTTCAGGCACTACAGTGCAATTGTCTAATTAAGGATGTTTGTATTGTTCAGAGAAAAGCTGTTCTAATTAAATCCTGAGGGAACATAAAACTTGATCAATACGCTGTATAGATCTCATAAAGGGGTTCAGTCCCCTTACACAGTGAAGAAAGGAAAATTAAGGCTTAACTCAGGACAGTCATGTCCAGACTGAGAGCAAGGGTAAAACTTTGTGATATTTGAAGTGTCATCCAACCACAGAGCATGACAATACAAACGATTATAAGTCATTTATACCCTCTACATGAGTGCAGGAGTTGGGGGTTGAATTCTCCACAGCCCTGCAACTTGCACAGTTAATTACTTTGATGAGGTGTAAAGTGCAATGTTAGTGAATCAGTAGTATTTTGTTGCCATTTCCCACAAATACTTCTAAAAATGATCAAAACAGGAGAGATACAGGCCTTGGGAATAACCAAGACTACACTGACATAGTCCTAGTTGTTTTATTTTGCTGCCAAGTATGTTATCATTGTTTCAGGACAGGAAGAGATACAGGCAATACAGATGAAGGACATCATTAGTAAACATTGAATTAAGGTGACTCTTCACAAAATGTCGTTATAAGGCTCCAGGGTTTAGTTGTATAAAACCCTTATAAGGCTCATCAATTTTCTGTCTTATTACAGCTCTTCCTGGATGTTTGGGCTGTGAATCATAAATATAGGCCTTCTTGATGATACTGTTGGTAACTTTCTTCTGGTTCAGGGCTCACTGAGTGAACATGAAGGAGGAGCAACTTAGTCTTTTATCAGCTTTGCAGTGATGAGGAATTTTGCCTGTGGATATTAGGAAGGGTTGAAACTAGGATAAATGGCTCCAATAGCCTGACTTACAAATAACAAGCAACTCCATGCTATTTAACATCAATTGGGCTAACATACATCACAGGGAAATCAAAATTTTTAGACAGCACAATCAACAACACAGTGAGACACACCTCTAGAAACTGGAGAACCTGGGGTAGGATGTTTTATCATTCTCTACCAGGATCTGTTACAGGAGGTACCTAGAAGAGTGATATCATGGGGACACAGGAGTGAGGAGCCGAGATGCAAAAAAAATAAATAAATTTGGGCTAATGGACACAGATTCTTACTTACAGCAGATTAATATTTGCAGAGGCAGGGGGGAAGGCGTGAAATTCCTCCTGCAGAGATCTCATAGTTGAGATCTGACAGGATTATAAGGGCACTTCATAATCTTATTTCTGTAAGTGCTACATTCTCCAGTCTCTCTGCTGCCATGCCAGAAGGACAGGAGCTCATCCGCCAGGAGAAGGTTGATTTTGTCTTTGTGCCCGTTACAAAGGGCACCTCTTTGCTAAGAACTGACATTTCATTTCACGGAGGCCACTGAGCAGCCCACATCTCATCAACTGACCTTCTGGAACAACTGATATAGGATGAGTTTTATCTAGCTGGAAGAAAAGACTCATGACTGTACAACAAGTCCGCTGTAACAAATTAACTCCATTCTTTAGGCCTTTCACCTAGGATTCTCCTTTACCCCAGAGCAATAAGGCTGCAGAAAATATCTTTGTTTATTTATTTTCTGTATTTTAATATCAGAAACAAACATTCTTAAGGGCCTGTTTTTTCTCCTATACAAAGCAATTACAGAAACCCACAGAGTGTAATGGGAGTGAGATCATTCTTTAAGAATTTAGAAAAGACAATAAGTGTAATCAAATTATTTTTTTGAAGAACTATGGAAACTGTAAACCTGCTTCTGACATGGCAGTAATATGAGGTTGAGCCTCAGGCCCTCTTAACAACTCACACATGAGCAGCTTGAGCAAAGTCAGCATGATGACCTATCTCCATAAAAGTTGTGTCTACTGAAAAATGTATTTGGGGTAAATAAAAAGTTTGATAATCCTTTCAGTGATGTTTTCAATAATGTTTGTGTCCAGCACTTCAATTTTAGAAAAAAGGAAAGAGAAATCTGGAGATGAAGCAAGCCAACACTGTTTCATTCCGAAAGAAAATGGTTTAAACATTTCAAAAGTGAACATTAAAGAAACAACATGTCTCTTGTTTTTAGCCAATTCCAGTATTGCCCAGAGACCTTAACCAAGGAGCAGTACCATGCTGTGGCACCATATGCTCGTATTTGTAACAGTCTTTAAAAGCTCATAATGTTATTATTGTAATTTATACAGGATATTTCTCCTAAAAATATCCCAAATGTCTCAGTGTGACATTTTTTTCCACCTCCCTTGTTAAAATAATTTTTTTTTGTTTCAGCATGATCATGTCATGTTAGGACCAGTCTCCTGAAATAAGGTTGAGCCACAACCCATCACTGTTTCGAAGAGCCACACAGTGATTTCAAGGACCATCAGTAACCTTTGAGGAATGCTGCTCTCAAGACACGGGGTGCCCCAGAGGAAGTCAGGATGATGCTACAAAGATTGAATAATGTCAAAGCAAAGCTGAGGATGCAGAAATGACTGGCACAGGATGCCTCAAGCTTCCTCATTTCCCCTTCACCCAGCATCCAGCAGGGACATGGGGTTATCTGTCCTTCAATGCCGATTCCTTTAAAATGGTCTGAAAAGATTGTTCCCAGAGGGACTCATGGGTTGGTTAACAGGGTTTCATGTATGTAGGTAGCAGTGAGTACCTTTGCTAACAGGATCATTGCATAGGTAGCCCACATAGCAGAAATATTCTCCATTACAATTATTTCTCTCCATTCAGCATCCCCTGCACCATCCCATACCCCAGCCTAATTTACAAAACTGCAAGCATGCAAAGCATCAGGGCAACTTAACTCCTTTAATCCCCTCCATACGGAATACTCTCTTGCCTTTTGTATTAGACAGACCTTTTTTCCTCCTCCAAAGATAAACAAACACTTGCAAGACGCCAGGCAATTTTGGATGGTAAAGGGCATGGAGAAAGCCTGCGCCTGACGCAAACTGCTGGCCAAGGTGGCTTCATTCAGCTGCCTGCTTCGTTTGAATAACAATATCTTCTCAGTCATAGGGTTTTCCCTCCCCTTTCCCCCCCTTCTCTCCCCCATGCAGGCTTGAGCAAAAGGCTGTGTGAATTCAGGAGCCTGCTTGTGAATGAGCTGGCATCTGATATGTATTTACTGACGTTAATTTTGGATGTAATGCACCCCTGCCACTTCCCCACAGTTTGCCCTAAAAGGCTTTCTGACGGGCACAAAAGCAGAGGGTCAAAAGTAAGTTGACCCCTGCCAGAACGTACAATTATTGGAAAGAGGCGGTACACCAGCAGCTGTCGAAACCCCACCGGCGCGGCGAAGTGCTTCCAAAAGTCAGAGGATGACTAATACAGTCGAGCTCTCCCCTCCGCCCTGCAAGAGCCAGCTACTTTCTGCAGGAAGAATTATGGCCCTCCCGAGCAGCTGCAATAATTGTCTTCCCATTGTCCCCCAGCCCTCCCTCTGCCACCCCCTACAAGTGCCCATTGTCAACGCGGAGTCAAGTGATTATATGCTTGGGCTGATGCTGTTTGTGCCCAGCTGCCTGACTGCTGACACACGAGCATGGAGAGGGGGGACCCGCGTCTGCGAGACGGGACTCCGACATACCAGACCTTTTACATAAGTCAAACAGGAACAAATGACTCTTTATCAACCCCTTCTCCCTTTGAAGTGGCGGCTGCTTATAGGCCCTTACAGCTTTTCCTCCTTAGCTCGAGCAAACATCCTCCTTTTGATATGCTACATGCTCATTATCTCTGCCCCATTTAATGATTTTTGATTGAAGGGTGGCAGCGCAGTTGCCAAGAGGGTAGTTAAAGAGGCTCCACGCAGTCAGGACGACAAGAAAGGCTTTCCTTGTGCAGCAGCCTAAATTTGGAGTTTCTTAACAGTGTGTTCTTGTTCTTAGCAGCAGATAAGGGCTGAGCGTGAAATTCTTAATTAAGCAGTAAATAGAGAGTGGGGTGTCAGCAGATGCAGCCTGTAGCCATGGAGACCAAGTCAGATGAAGGAGGGAGCTGAAACTCAACGCCAGCCCCGGGCTCGGGCATGACTGACAGCTGAAGAATCCGACAAAGCTTGTAAACGGGATTAATTAGTTGGCTAATTATTTCATATAGTTAAATGTAAATAAAAAATAAAAAAAACCATCTTGCAGAGTTAGGCAGGAATACGTTCTGAAGGCCAGACCTTCAAACGTTGTCCTCTCCAGGTCAGTGGATGGACTGGTGGGTTTTTAAGGCCAGAAGGGACTATTGTGGCAGCCTTCTCTGACCTCCTACAGAGCGTGAATCTCGCCTTATGAGGTTTCTAATAGCTTCTCATAGAACTGGAGCGTATTTCTCTGAAAAGAAGACCAAGCATCATCTAAGGACCCTGAGTGATGGAAAGTCCACCACATGCCATGAGTCTGCTCTGATGGCTAATTATCCTTACCCTCTCAGCCTGCACAATGGAGATTAGGAGAGAAACTAAATGGCACAATAGGAGTAAGAACCCGCTTGCTTTGTTTCAGACTTTTACCCTACCAACCGTATTAGATATTAGGTACCCAACACTGAATTATTGATTCACTGCTATAAAAGTCCTTGCTGAAAATGTTCACAGCATGAATTATATATGCTAGGTGTTTTCATAAATTTCCCCTCTTGTACTTTGGATGATTATTTCTCTCTGTATTAAAAGGAGAAACAACAATGAGCTCTTCATACAATAAAAATCAAGATGAAAGGAAAGTAAAAGAAGGACAAGAAACTATCTGTGATGCAAGAGTGACATATGCCGGCCGGATCACTTTGTCCCAGTCTTCCCCAAACTGTCATCTCCTCTATTTTCATCAGTAGTAAGAGGCCAAGATACAGGTGTCATCTTCTGAGCTTTCCCATTCCTCCCTATTTATGAAAGTGCATATCTGCATATGTAAACTAAAAAACAGTTGATTTTCATATTTGAAAGAACAAAATTACACTGTTAGTAAACCAAAATAACAAAAACATATTTCCTCTTTTAGTAGATACCCGGCATGACCTTAGGCGAGACTTAGACTCAACAGCTAGATTTATGGTAGACAATCTGTACCTATACTATATCTAAACAGGGTCAGGACATGGAACTAAGAGCTGGACCTCAATAATCTACATGGCTATATTGCTGGCCAAGTTCCTGGCACAGTTTTGGCCCAGATCAACGCACCCCTCCAGATGATGATCATTACAGTTTGGGAGTTAGCACAGGACAGGGATCTTTCCTAATTTGAAGCCTGGGTGCATCCAGGCTGTTTTGAAAGATAAAATGTTAAGCTGTATGGACGCAAGCTGTACAATGCCAGTTGGCCACAGGACCAGAAATGGATGCAGCAAGTGTGACCCTCAGACTGAGGTTAAGGTATGGGCCTCCTCATTTCTCCTTAAATGTAAGCTGTATGATTTTCATTGCTGTCAGACTAAGCTCTCAGATTGCCTGCCCTCATTCCAGCCATGTTTTCCTCTCCACTGTCCCACTAATTGTTCTAGTTGCTCATTCCTAAACAGACCCTACATGAGAAAGCCATTTGCATGCCACCTTAGTGCAAATCAAGAGAAATTCATTAAAATTAATGGATTAGATCAGTGACAAAATTTTCTGTTACTGTGAAGATCTGCATCTTTATATTGTAACTTCTCTGTATGACAGTCATGAAGGATAAGCTATGCTTCTCAAAGAAAGTGAAATGTTTCTGTTATTCCTGGTTCTGCTATTATTAATAATGGCAAAAATCATTACCTTGCCTTTTACATACGGAACTTAGACCCTTATAAAATCACTTGCTTGAGAAGTGAATTGCAGAAAATGTCCCAAATTTAAAAGAATAAATGAAACTTGAACAAACATCAATACATATCTGAATTTCTCAAAAAAATGACCACCACACTTCATGATCTAGTGTACAAAGCCAACATACTCAAACGTAAAGGTCTATGATGTCTTTGGAAGTTTACAGTCATTGGAAAAATTCTCGTCCAGTCATCCTATCGCCTTCGGTGGGCTCAGCCTAGATAGATTGCACATGATTTATTAATGATACGTGTGATATGGGACCAGCTGACAACAGAGATCATTAGTGGAATTTAATGGCTTTTCCTCCCCAAAACACCAATTCAAATTCAACTGATGTCACATCACCCACTATTTATTATATATTCCTTTTGTTAATAGATCAGGCACCAGATAGATCAGATAGAGATGGACCCAATGTGCATGCATTTACTGATTTGATTGATCTTTTTGAAAGATGTCTCACTTACTGAAAAGCCATTGAAAGATGGCCTTCTGTCTAAGGCCTTATGTAGTTTGGGGGTTTAAACTAAAAAGACATCAGCTCTGTCACCATTCTTAAACAAAAAAGTACATTGCATCCCTTGTACTGCACTTACCCAAATAGGTTAGCTTCCTCAGTCTGCTGTTAAGATACCAGTCACAGCTCCTATGATGTCCGTAGGACGGTAGCGATTGGAGTGGCCGTCCAGTCCTTGTTCCACAGGACACCACAACCTCAGGATGGGCGTCAAGATCCCTGTGTTCCACCAGCAAGTAATTCCCAGTCATGAAGTTGCTGAATGTCACTGAATACTAGAGAAGAGGGAACCAAAATAAACATGCCTGTGTCTGTGACTAGAGCCTCGTGGAGTGCAGTATAAAGGGATAAAAAGGATGGTGCTCCTCACAGGCAACATACTCTTTTGCAAAATGTGTATTGGAAACACGGAAAAGAGATGTGAAGTTAAAGTAGAAGGTGATGGTGAACACAGACAAGATCAACTCCCTTCATCACCACCATCATCAGAGGAATAATATCTTCTGAAAATCGTGTTTCAGTATGTCTTAGGGTAGTAAAAGTTTTGTTGATTCCTAAGCACCATACTGAACTTTCATCTAAGAAGTCCAAAATCATCTTCCTGTTCAAAGTTATTACTGATAGCTTCAGGGACTAGGTCATCATATCTAAGCCCTGCCTGTAAACATATAGAGATTTTCTCAGTGCACTTTACACTGTTTTTCGTCTCCCTGCTCACTCAGAAAGGTGAAAGAATGATAATCTCTTCCAAACATGATTTTGAAATTATAAAAAATTCCCACGTTACCTGGAGCTGTCTGTTTGCCAAAGGGTTGTCAAATGTCAACGCATAAGTCTCTTTATCCAAGAGGAGAACCATCCAGCCATACAGGTTTGACAAAGTATCAGGGACATAATTGACTGTGGTTGTCTTATTCCTACTGTCAGTCACAGTTAAGTTATAGGGAAAGTCTGGAGCCTCTTTTCTGGAGGAAAAAAATATATTCACATTTTTTCACTGAACTCTGTCATTTTGCAACATTTACAGTTCTGGTTTTATTTGAATTACAGTAGTATATGCTGGCACTCTCTTAGAATGCGACTTCATTTGTGTAGTTCTTTACAAATACAGTAAGAAACGATCTCTGCCTGAAGTGCCATAAAAAGAGAAAAGGCAAAGACAGACAAAGGGTGGAGGAATAGAGGCACAGCTTGTGTCAAAGCAGAGCAATGCAACAGCCAGGTTACCAACTCCTACACTGTCAGAGTATTTCCCCATCCACCAGACTCATGAACCTCAGGTTCAACTTTTAGGATCTTCATCTTTATGAAATTTCATAGAGTTTTCTGGTTACTCACATTTGAGCAGTCAAAAGTTTCATCAAGGCTGAAGGTGCAAAAATCTTACGTTATTCAAAAAGCTGCTCTGTGCCCGGGTCAGCAAGCAGCGTGAAGCTAGGGCTGCTGCAGACTGATGAAAGCCTTCACAAAATGGGTGAACTTTTAGTACAGAAGTTCTTCTAAACACCCAAACAAGAACTCAAACCCCTTTTTCACTACAACTTTGCACTCTTAATTTCTGTCCAATCTAGTCAGAGAAAAAAACCTCGTTGAACTGAACAGTAGTAATGATATCATGACTGGGCATAAACCCTTTAGATTTAAGGCCTCTAGAGACCTTTCTCTAGCAAAAATAGCAAATAACATAGTGAAGCTGGGAGCGGTATACCCACCCACCTTGCCTTCCTCTCCAGGGCCAGGGTCTGTCTTTTTCCTGAGCATAGACTTTTTTCAAATTATCCTAAACTGATCTTGATTATTTGGACACCTGGCCAGAATAACCTCTTACTGCTATGATTGTCAGTTCCCCAAGATGGAAGACTGTGTAAGGTAAATTCCAGAGACACAGAATACTCTGCTTTCAAGAACTGCTTTGATGGAGGCAACAAGCTACATGAAGGAAAAGATAAAGCCAAAATGCAGCCAACTCTTCTGATGTTCAAACATTGAACATCCCTTGTCTCTTCATGTCTGATTAAACAGGGACACCTGATTGTAAGCCACTTCTTCAAAACAAAGATCTTACCTCCAGTCCTCAGCATCCTGCATTCCTACAACAGCTCTTGAAACTAATGGAAATGATGGTTGAAACTGTGCTTTGGTTAGCTACACTGTGTTACCACTTCACATCTGGAAAAAGACTGGGAAGGTCTCCTCTCCTTCTAGAGTCAAAAAGGAGCATCAAGTTTCTCCAGAGGAGGTCAGATGTTAGGTGGGCTAAAATGTTCTCTGAAGCTGCTGTTTCTCCATGACCTGAATGAATCTAGGTGACAAGACTTCCACATTAGAAATTGCATTTTGATACAAAAAATCACGAAGAATAAATCCTAGCCTAAGAACCTCCCTGTCCTCTTGCTGCACACACATGCACAGACTGCCTAACCTTATCTGAGAATTTGATGCTTCTCATTGTGGCACTCTTCTCTAGCAACTGACAGAGATTATTCCTCACCCTGAGCGTGATCCCCGTTGGCTTGCAAAGAGATTGGCACAGGGTTGTCTATGCTACTAAAGATACAGGAGGAGCTCTGATCGAAGTATCTAGAATTCTAGCAAGGGTCTTACCCCATCGCCACCAGCATCTCTCATCTCTAGCCCTGCCAGCAGTAGACATGCTGATAAGAAAATTGGGGTTGCAATCGCACAACTGCAACTCACAAGTTTTTTCCTGCCTGTTGCATTCTTCACATTATACATGGGGAATTGCTAGGGATACACATCCCAGGACTGCAGAGCTAATTCTCAGCTGAGGAGAAGCCTTGCTAGCTTGCCAGGATACCCTGGGGCCATGATTCTGCCATAAAGATGAACACAGCAGATTTATACGTGAATCAAGTGCTGTTGCGAGATCAAGGCAAGTTGGAAGTTTCACCTTTAGTCCACTTAGTCAGTTTTGGCATTTGAGCTGACACTAAGCTTAAAAAAAACCACCTCTTTTAAACATATCTAAAGTGGTATTTCTAAATATTGGAGTATTACCCTACAACTAAACATCTCAGCATACTACCCAACCCTCTAAACTGGATATAGCTTACTTAATCAAGACAGACAGTGCTAAAATTCATGTCATCCTGTAATTTGCTCGTTTGTATTTGCAATTTTGGTTCTTTTTCCCCTTGCCTCTTTGGAGACAATACATAATTACAATAGCAGTCATCTTGGAGGAACGTTGCCTGCAGATTTTTTTTTCTCTTAAAATCAGTTCTGGGGTTTTTTTTGTTATTCTAATGGCTGTCATTTCAGCAAGGGACTTTCTGATTATCCAGAAACATTCAGCTGAGAAACAGCAATGGCAAACAGAAGTGTGAATCAGCAAAGAATCACTCAACCAGAAGATATTGGCAGACCAATGAAACTGACTGGAAGGAGTTAATAAGGCTTAAACAGCTTTCGTACTACTAATAAACCTCCTCTTACAGGCATTAAGTGGACCAGGGTATTAGGCTGCTAATTAAGCAAGTAAATGACAACAAGCACATTATGGCCACAGTTATCAGCACCTGCACAGGTATTCAGGAGAACATTTCTAGCAGCAGAAGCATACCACACATAACGTGGTGCAACATTACACTTTCCTGCACATCAGAAATTGCCTTACTGAGTGACAAAGGTGCACAACGCCACAGCAAGTGACAGAGCCTCAGACCCATCCTCTGTGCACGGTAAATCGATGTGGTTTTACTCTTTACTTCTTTTACTCTTCATCGTTGGAGAAGTCTGATGAGACAGCTTGAATCACTTTTCTCAGAGACTTCTCCCCAGTACTTCCAAGAAGTTTTAAAGACAGAGAAGAAAGCCTGGAAGGGGTAATCCTGCTGGGATATGGGGAGGGATACAAGTTAGCTGACTGATCTGTCAGAAAGTCAGGTGGCAATTCCACACTAGCCATGTAGATTCACTAACTAGTGAATGAGAACGTGAATGTGAATGTGAATTCACTAGCTAGTGAATTAAGTGTGAATCCAACTCTGTTGGACACCAGTCTTGATGAGAGGTTATAAAGGAACACCAAATAAATATCTTACACTAGACAGCTAACTTCCAGATGGCTACAGTTAAGTGAAATACATCTTTCCCTGTATGCCTACTTATAACAGGGAAGTCCTCTCTCCCTAGACCTCAAAGCTAGGATAGACTTTTGACTGCTTCAGACACGACCAACTTTCTTTTTCGGTTAATTATTCTCAGTCTTTTGGATAGAAAGACAGGGAGCCTTCACTGGAGAATTTTTGGGTTGAAAATGCCATTTCTTTATGTGGGAAAGCCTTTCTGAGGAAGAAGGCTTTGCATGGCTTCATACCGTAATAGTCTGGATTCCCTGACCTTCTCCTGGAAGTTTGTTCATGACCCAGGAAGGAAAGGGAGCTGGAGATATAGTGTGGCCTGAAATCTCTGGGGTGTCCTTGACCTGGAATGCTGTGTCCTTGCCTATTACATACTTCGACCCAGGAAGGAAAGGGAGCTGGAGATATCGTGTGGCTTGAAATCTCTGGGGTGTCCTTGACCTGCAATGCTGTGTCCTTGCCTATTACATACTTTGCTCAAGGTGTTGCCACCCACTAACATACACCTTACTCCTGATAGAGTGCCAGCACACCAAAACAAAAATTTGAGGAACGTGAAAAACTTTGCAACTCAAGTATAAAAGTTAGCTGATACAAGGCAACAATGAGCCTGAGACTACATTCACCATGAAAGGATGTCAGTAAGCTTGTTTTTTTTCACCTATATGCCAAACAAACACCAAAACAGAAGTACCCTGCTAATGGAATTACCAGCCACAATTAGCACCATTTCCATTTGCCCTAAATAGCCAGTGATTTCACTGTGCCCTAAATAGCCACCAATCTACCTCTCCTTAATGTTAATGAAGCAGAGTAACGCTCTCACACATGAGTATTTCTATTTCAGAGGATCCGAGGGAGCCTGCACGCATCATTAACATGGAGAGCTTCATTATCAGAGGAAAGAGCCTTCCCCTGAACTTCCTCTGGCTTTATTTGAAAGAAACTAGAAGGCAATGGTCTTAATGCAAAATTAACCCTCACTTTAAACTGCTGGAAGCCTTTACAAACTGTAAGGGGAAAAAAAAAAAAAAGATGACTCATTGAAAAGGCTGGTTTTTTATATTGAAACAGGTTTCAATTAAGGAGTAATTTGCTTTAGAAATATGGCAGGATTACTGGATAGGACTTTACAGTCTGAGTCACAATTTACCAATTGTGATAGTATAAACTCTTATGTAATTTAGCTCAAGTGCATTGTGCAGAACTGCTCAATATAGATAGGCCACAAAGGATTTGTTAAACCAATCAACAACATCAAGTAGAACAAATATTAACTCTCCTGTTTATGTTTACCATTAACTTACTTATCCTAAGGGTCCATATCTGTGTGTATGAAGGCAGGCGCTGTGTTTAGCTCTAAATGCTTTCTGCTTGATACATTTGTGTAATAATCCATTATGATTATCCCTCTTTTAAAAGAGGAAACAATATCGCATCGAACTTCAAATGGGACACCAATGTTTATGTCAACAGTCCAATTTATTGTTGGCTAAATGGAGGCTAATTCCAAATCATGACAATACCAAACACTTTACAGGTTTGATGCTGGACCCAAAGCCAGTTCATTTTATTTTAATTGCCAAGAATTAAGAATTTTCAGCTGTTTTCAGTAAATGTGTGTATCTTTGTTAGAGAGATCAAGACATGATTCAAATCTGCCTTGCATTATGAACACTTACCATCAGCGAGATTTTGCATGCACAGGTCTTTTCAAAAATAACTGGATCTTAAATCTTAATAACTAGTCCTTCAATCAGATCCCCAGCTCCTGTAGTTTACAGGCTGAGATTTCAAGAAAAACTAAAATCATGTGCAAATTCTGAGTTGGAAAGCAGCTGATAAGCAAACAGTTCAAACAC